AACTCAGAAATTGCAACTTTGTTAGACTGATCGCGGTACAGTGTGTACAGTAATATCACAAATGCCGACCGAAGAGCATTAAGAAAAGTAATCGTGAAAAACAGGCGTGCCAATTATTTACAATTAAGTGCTCTGTGAAGTGACGCTGTTGGAAGGAGAATTTCGAGGTCCACAACTCATAAAGAGGCCCACAAACTGGGATTTAGCACTTGCAAGGTAAGTTTTCTTATAAAAAAAGTGAAGTAAAAACCCTAAAGTTCCACAACTTGTTTATAGGCCAAAGAAAAGCCACTATTAACTCCTCTGCAAAAGAAAAATCGGCTTAGATGGGCTAAAGAACATAGACAATGGACACCTCAACAATGGTGTGCAATACAATAGAGTGATGAGGTCCGATTCGAAGTTTGTGTTGGTAACAGTCGCAGTAGAGTTATTCGCAAAAAAATTAAGCATTCCATGTTAACTGTCTGAAGAGAAAAGTGAAATTTTCAGCATCTATTATGGTCTGGAACCGTATGTCATCAAAACGAGTAGGAAAACTTCATTTTATTGATGGAAATGTGGATACAAACAAATATTTGACAATTTTAGAAGAATCGCATTTACCAGTGATGGAAGAATGTTTGACATCCGGCCAAGATTTTGTGTTTCAGCAAGATGGTGCAGCGTGCCATACCTCAAAAAAGGCTATAAAATGGATGGAAGAAAATAATGTACCACTTTTGAAATGAGTTTCTAGCAGTCCAGATCTGTCACCTATTGAAACTTTGTGGCACGAGACGAAAAAGGTTCTACGACAAGATCCTGCTCGTACAATCACCGAACTGAGACAAAACCTTCAAGAAATATGGGATTGTTTCACACCAAATTTTTGCCAAAACTTGGTTAACACTATTCCCCAAAGAATTTCAGCCGTAATAAAAAATAAATGTGTTGTTACCCAATGGTAATCTTTCAATTGTTGTTGCGCATTTATTCGCATATTGTTTATTCGTTCAGATGTTCTATTAGTTATAGGTCTAAGTGATTTCAAATATGTATTTTTTACGACTAGAGTGTATCTAAAATGTTTTTGAGAAAATAAATTTTTATTTTTTCCTGACTTTATTTGAGAGGGTTTTTAAAATAAACTACATAATGTTTTTGCCACTCTGTCTCCTCTACAAGATGGCTTAGTAAAATTTCCAATTTTAGGTATCTTCTTTCGACTCCATGTATCGGCGTACGCAGGAATTTTTCTCAAGGTGGTCGCGAGACAACTTTCTGTGAAAGGCAAATCCCCAAAATTGTATTGTACATCAGCAGAAGATCAAGGTGCACAGAACCTTCTTAAAAAACCCCTACTGTAGAAATCATACAAGCTGACGTCGAGTCCTAAAGCAAACATAACGAAGCGGGGCCCAATGCCAAAGACTACCATGATATAAAAGTTATGCACAGGGTAATGACGCAGCGCAATGGCAGTTGGTCTTTCTGGACGCTGGTCAAGCACATTGAAAGGAAAAAGGATATAAGACCGACCCTTTCAGCTTCAGGCCTATAGCTGCGCTTTCTGTTATAAGTAAGGTGATGGAGAGGTGCCTAGATCACGGGCTTCTGGACTATCTCGAACGTCACGGATTGATCAGCGACACGCAGTAGAGTTTTCGGCACCATCTAGTCTTGTGGTGTGGTTCATATCGTTGCTCTTGATATCACGAAAGTGTTCGATCAGCTGTTGCACGCTGCCCTCTTAAGCAAACTTCAATCCTATGGCCTCCCAGAGAAGCTTTGCAAATAGGTGGCTGACTAATACAATTTGGAGATCATAACGTCCCTGTTAGATATTTTTGAAGCAGATATTTACAAACGGGACATTGTCAGATGATGAAAAACATTATCCTGTATGGAGATTTGGAAGTAAAAGTGAAATTATTGGAAACTGTCGAGAATATATGCAAGACCTCACAATGAGCTGTAATTGGTACACTATACGACGTAGATACCCCACAAATTATACAGAACTAGAGTAAATATGCTAAAGATAAGGTATCTAAATCTGTAAAGGTGATAATGTTTGCGATAAACAGATAAAGGAGTATTTATGTGAGAACATCATATGAGACAATATTGACTATTTTTCAGAAAAAATGTTTGTTACAGGGCGCAGAAATGAAGTTGGAATTTTTAAAATAGCTTTATCATTACTATAAGATATTTACATATAGCGGGACACAACAGTTCTGGAACGGCTCTCGAGTAGCGTATTTTTGGTGAAGATCAACATAGGGTCTTCAGTAGCTTTCAGCAAGGAATTCAACCTTCAAGGTCACTTCATGGTCAACTTTATTTTTTCAAACCGAAACCCTTATTTCTGATGCCGGTAATCAAAGGAACAGAACATTTTACGGTCAAAAACAATTGAAGCCCAAGGTCAGGTTGACTACTAAAGGTCAAATAAAGATCAAATGTGTACTGCTAGGAAGAACTATAAAAATCTCACAGGATGAGTGAAGAAAATAATGATCAAGGACAGGTCTTTGGTAAATTTTAACTAGGAAGTGAACGTTGAAATTGGATTTTACCTTGATCTTCACTTTCAAGGTTATTTCAAAGTCAACTTTATTTTTTCTAATGAGGATTTTTGATGTCGGAAATTGAGAGAGCCGGAAACTTTACGTTCAAATATATATTGAAGACCAAGGTCGCAGTGACCTCTAAAGGTCAAACGGAAGTCAAATGTATGCTGCTAAGAAAACCACTATGAATCGTACATGATTAGTGATGAAAATAACTACCAAGTTCCTTTCCTTAGTAAATTTTCACGAGTGATCTTTGATTTGACCTTGAACTTCACCGTCAATGCCATTTCAAGATAAAGATTTTATGTTCAAATGTGTATTAGAGTTCAAAGTCAAGGTGACCACTGGAGGTCACATAAAAGTCAAATGTGTGCTGCTAGTATAACTTCCCGAAACCTCTCATGAATAAAAATAACTGCCAAGGTCAGATCTTTGGGTAAGTTTTAACTAGGAAACTTCGGTGCTCGTTACAAATGATTTTTAAACGGTACTGTTCATGTGGGTTTCTAGTTGTAAAACAAAGATTGACCTTGAACGTAATGTTTAAGGTCAAATCCACGATCACTCGTCAAAATTTACTACCTACCTGACCTTGATAGTTATTTTCATAACTAATCCTGTGAGATTCATAGAGGTTTTACTAACCTGGCATATTTGATCTTCATTTGACCTTGGACTTTAATTGTTTTCGAACGTACAATTTTCTGTTATTTCGGTTGCCGGTAACAAAAATAGCGGTTCCTATTTGGAAAGACTAAGTTGATCGTAAAATAGCTTTGAAGATGAAGGTCAGGTAAAATTCAAGGTCGCCGCTGGATTCCTTGCTAAAAGTTACGGTGGACCTGACCTAGATCCTTTCCAAAATCACTTTACTCGAAAAAATACAGAGCCGTTCCGGGACTTTTGTGTTATGCTTCATATTTAGATAGTTAGACCTTCCTCTGCAAATGTCAGTGTGCTATGTAACTTTCTGCTTTCCAGACCTTTTGTTGTTAATGGATGAGATTGTTTCTAAGTTAGACTAAATGATGACAACCAAAGTTATCAAAGATAATGGAGGTCAGGTGAAAATATAGAGTGTTCAAGATAAGGACGTTGCGACCTCGGGAAGTGAATGGTAATGCTAAACAAGAGAAACGATAAGCTAATATCGAATAATTCAAAAACGGTAATTTCGTAGACCTTGATTGTATTTATTCTGTGATACACAGTCTCAAAAATTAACTAATAATTAGCTTTTTTTGGATGTTATTTTCATTACGTAATTCAAAGCAATTTATATGTATTATTTATGTGGTACAACACCTGTAACAATTTAACAACTTTTGACTTGGCTTGTAGAAACTTCAGAACAATTCAGGAACACAAAAATTGACATAATCGTTTTTTCAAATATGTAGATATCTGAAAATCTTCTTCATGTGAAAGGTATCACGCACCTTTTTCTCAGCTATACACTGTAACTGTTTATTGCCCACAACACATCATGGTGCTGTCTGACCTTTGTTATACAGGGTGGCCCAACGAAAAGGTCGAACTCTCCTGATATATTTTGGGAAAAACGCTCAGACACGTCAATTTTGATTTTTATGGGAACGTCTTTTCATCTATAGCCGCACAATACAGAGCGATCCAAAAGTACGATATTGCGTTACACTTTAGATTTTTAAATGGAAATCCCCCAGAGCGCCTGCAGAAATTTCTCTCAATGGTAGGAGTGTTATTTAATTTTTTGTTATACACTTTCGTAGCTAACTTTTTTCTCAGGGCTAACTTGTGACACACATAATCCTTCACGAATTGATGAGCGTGGGAACTACTCAACCTACTCGACGCCATTTTAAGTGATTATCATCATACGCAACGAGTAAGGAAGGTTCTGTAACCACAAATCATTCATGCATAATTAGAACTGTATTGGTGTTTGACTTCATAGTAGCAATATAGAATATATTTGAGTAAAGTGAAGGGCCGTATCGTCAGTCGTTCCAACAATTGTAGGACGCCTTTTTAGCATACTTGATTTTCATAGTCTTTTCGCTCCATCAGAAAGGTTGGAGTTATAGATTTCGACTGTTCCGTGTCACCGTCAGCCCTCTCCTATTATGAGGTTATGTGGTCTTTTGGAATTATTGGAAATGTCATGCTGATGAAACAGATAAAAATCAAAAGCAGAAGCAATTCGATGCAAATAGATATTTGAAACATAACTTCAAAATAAGGCGCTGAAATGAAACAACAGAAATCTAGAAATATCCTTACCTTTCTGGAGGACAGGAAAAACTATGAAAGTCAAGAAGGCCATAAAGGCGTCCTACAATTGTAGGAAAGACTGGCGATACGGCCCTAAAAGCAGACATAATTCTTCCAAATAATGTTTCTCGCTCATCTGGATTGGAAGATATCAGTAGTTAGACAGTTTAAATAAAAGTAACTTACTATTACTGCCCAATTTGTATATCTCCAGGTCTTTATGTCTGAACTTACTGCGACAATTTGGTTTCTTCCTGACCATCTTTATTTCTTTCTTTTCTTCGGATCCAGCTTCTTTGCCTGGAAAATACAGATAGCCATTTCCAGTTCAACAAAATTTTTTGTGAAGAAATGAGAGATATTTAAGATAATATCTGAGCAGATATTTTTGGCTCCTGTATAAGGACATCTAGAAAAATCAAGTCAGTACTCAATTTTGACTTATTTCTTTGACTTGATTCTCTAGCAATGAGGTAGTCTTGCATCAAGAATTAATCGATAATATTCTCACGAAATTTTATTGACAAATAACAAAAAAAATAATGTGTTGGGCGACCCCGCAGTTGAATACACGTATACGTCTAGGCACCGACAAAATGAGATGACCGATGTCTGTTGCGCATCTCATTCCAAGCAACTAGAACTTCGTGTATTAGCTGTCGCAGAGTCTGTGGCAGATGGTGCAAAGTGGATAGTCTCCTCCCCATCATATCCCACGCAAGAGTTTATTTGGAGACATACCATGGAGCGTAAGTCATTGCTGGACGAATGGTCGAATATAAATTTTGAACGTTAACATAATAATGAGTAAAGCTGTTGGGACGTAATTTGGAATTTAGTTTTTAATGCTTCAAGTTGATGATATTTTCGCATTAGATTGCCTGCGTTAACTCTAATGACCCACCGATCCGCACACTCTAATACGTCCTCCACCGCACTTTGCAGCCTGTCGTGGACTAGATCACCAGTCCACGACTGCTGCAGTATCGTCAGGATAGAGATTCACTTCACAGTTGTTGGGGCTAGAGACATGATGGATGTACAGTGAGTAAAGGATTGGTCCAAGAACCGAACCCTGAAGGACACCGGTTTTAATGTGCCATATTGACGACAGAACATTGTCAATCTTGATCCGAAATTTCCTAATTTCAAGGAAGAATTTCAACATTTTTAGAAGACAGGAAGGGAAGCGTTTTGTATTAGTTTATACAGGAGGGCCACATGCCTCACCTTGTCAAATGCTTTTGAGATATCCAAAACCAGGATGTCAGTGCTTTCATTAATTTTCTGGTTACTCGTTCCACCAGCCTAACTGCCTGTTCTCTCCGAAATATGATAATATAGGGATCCACATGTTTGACGTAAACATCAAAAGTGCGAACTTACACCAAAAGTGAACCAAATATGCAATAAGTGTGATGTCATGCAAGTATCAGAGCCATTAATTTAAGACTTCATTCAAAAAGCTGCTGCTGCAAAACTTTAACGTTTTATTGAAAGAAATCATCACTATATCTGCTAACGATACACAAAATATACTAAGTGACATATAAAATGCAATACCCAGAATTATTTATTGAATTTTGATAACAACTTGTAAACATATCCTGGAAGTATACACTGATGAAATGTTGATAGTCTCCTCCCCATCATATCCCACGCAAGAGTTTATTTGGAGACATACCATGGAGCGTAAGTCATTGCTGGACGAATGGTCGAATCTAAATTTTGAACGTTAACATAATAATGGGTAAAGCTGTTGGGACGTAATTTGGAATTTAGTTTTTAATGCTTCAAGTTGATGATATTTTCGCATTAGATTGCCTGCGTTAACTCTAATGACCCGCCGAACCGCACACTCTAATACGTCCTCCGCCGCACTTTGCAGCCTGTCGTGGACTAGATCACCAGTCCACGACTGCTGCAGTATCGTCAGGATAGAGATTCACTTCACAGTTGTTGGGACTAGGAACATGATGGATGTACAGTGAGTAAAGGACTGGTCCAAGAACCGAACCCTGAAGGACACCGGTTTTAATGTGCCATATTGACGACAGAACATTGTCAATCTTGATCCGAAATTTCCTAATTTCAAGGAAGAATTTCAATAGTTTTAGAAGACAGGAAGGGAAGCCCTTTTGTATTAGTTTATACAGGAGGGCCACATGCCTCACCATGTCAAATGCTTTTGAGATATTTAAAGCCAAGATGTTAGTACTTTCATTAATTTTCTGGTTACTCGTTCCACCAGCCTGACCGGCTGTCCTCTCCGAAATATGATAATATAAACATCAAGAGTGCGAACTTACACCAAAAGTGAACGAAATATGCAATAAACGTTGGGTCATGTAAATATCAGCGCCATTAATTTAAGATTCCATTCAAAAAGCTGCTGCTGCACAACTTTATCGTTTTATTGGAAGCAATCATTACTATATCTTTTAACGATACGCAAAATATACTAAGTGACATATCTTACTGTAAATAACAAGTTAAACAATTTTCAGCCTTATCAGTTGGACATTCCGGTTTTTATACTGCTTTTTTTTAATTCACTAACGCTCTAAAAATGAATATTTCAGCCGCAGTAAAGAATCAACGTTGGCGGATTTTGGTTCTTGACATCCTTTACGATCGGTTACGATGCCTAGAGTACGGAGACCTGTACGATTTCGTCAACTTATTGAGTTTGATAGGGGCCGTATAGTGGGACTTCGGGAAGCTGGACTTTCTTTTCGGGCAATTGCAGTTAGAGTGCAAAGAAGTGTAGACACTGTGGTTAGGTGTTGTCAGGCATGGCTTCGAGAAGGCCGTACGCAAAGAGCAAGGGGCACTGGACGCCGCCGTAGAACAACAGACCGTGAAGATCGCCGCCTAAGATTATTGGCCTTAAGGGACCGTTTCTCCACTACCAGGTCCATTGCAAATGAATGGTTTGCAGAACACGGAAGACCTATTGGCATACGAAGTGTTTACCGACGAATGAGAAGTTTTGGCTTGTTTTCATACTGGCCACACTGGGTCCTCCCTTTAACTCGAGAACACCTACGTAATCGCCTTGAGTGGTGCAGACAACGGTCACTCTGGGATCAGGAATGGAACAGTATTGTCTTTAGTGACGAGTCTCGATTTTGAAAGGAGGAATCCACAGTTTTTTGTTGAAAGACATGTTCATCACACTGTTGGAGTTATGGTTTGGGGTGCTATAGCTTATGGTTCCAGGTCACCTTTAATCTTCATCAGAGGTAACATGAACGCGCAGCGTTATATCCACGAAGTTCTAGAACCCAATCTTTAACCCTATCTTGACACCCTGGCAGATCCAACTTTCCAGCAAGATACTGCCCGACCACATGTTGCAAGAGTCACAATAGACTTTTTTCAACATAATGATGTCACATTGTTACCATGGCCACCAAGATCTCCCGACTTATCCCCAATTGAGCACGTGTGGGATATGATGGGTAGGAGATTGCTCAATTTGCAACGTCCTCCTCAGACTCTAGAAGCACTTCGAGAGGAGTTGGTGGTTGCAATACTCAGAATTATTTATTGAATTCTGATAAAAACTTGTAAACATATTTTTTATCTTGGAAGTATACACTGATAAAATGTTGATGGCATGCCAAGCCGTACTTTTTTTTGTAAATGCCTTTTTTGTCATATCAGAATCCGAACAATATGAACATGTTTATTTAATATTAGATGATTTTTCTGTGTTAGCTCCATTTGTTTCATTGCATTATCATGCATACAGTTACATACTTACCATTGGAATCAACAGCGGTCGTATCTTCATCACATTGTTGCATAAATCTTTTCTTGAAATGCTCCATATTATCTTCGAGTTTGTCGGTGCCTTCATTAATATCTTGGGTACCTAAAAACACCATACGATCATTTAGCGTTTCATATGTTATATTGTACTGAATGTAAAAGTGAAATTAATGCATACATTTCGTTGGTGTAATTTATTTCTATATGAATCAATATTGTTTTTCACTTGGAGTTTGTTTCATCTCTTAATTCTTCATATTGATTTGTTGATTTGCTGCACATAGAATTTATGTCCTTTATCGCAGAGTTTTTTTTTAAATAAAACTAAGGAGAGTTCGATTTCAGATATTTACTGATATACAGTTTATATGAGCGTATGTCGTAAACCTCTTAACTTTTGAGCTACGGGGTGTTAAAGTTTTAAGAAAAAATTCGTTTTCTTATCATAATCTTAATACTGTTCTAGATATTTTCATGAAATTTGACATGCACCTACTAAGCGCCAATAAGCACTTTTTAAGAAGAGTATTTTTTAATAGTCCTACCAGTTGCGTCTGTACGGGATGTATACTTGAGATTTGAAAACACATATGGTATGCCATTGCCTTTAAAAAAATATTTTTGAAATCCCCATTTATTTTGCAATGAATTTTTCCGTTCAGAACTTACTTTTTGGCCTTATTTTAATCGACATCATTTCCTCATTTGTCCAGCGAAATTAATATGTTATGATGGTTAAACCTGCGTGAAAATTTTAAAAAATATGCTCAGCTTCATGTGATCAAATCTGTTGATTTTCAGCTGAATATCACGGACGCTTAGTGTGTATGATGAGATCCATAAACAGCAAATAAACAAAGACCTTTTCTGCGGAATTTAATACAAATCAACTTCAGTGGTGTGTCTTTGCACTGGGTCTCTATTTCACAATAACGATGGAACACTGTCAAATATTTGAAGGGTACAGGGGAAACACACGAATGTCACAAATTTGAGATTTTGTAGTTAAAACCGCCAATACGTAGTCTTAAGGCAGTACAATCCCATGAGGTGTCGGAAACACGCAGAAACGACAGTCCATAGTTATGTATACTCAATTGAACACAGCCGTTGTATGAAAGAAAGATGAACTTCCAATGGTCGTCACCGAAACTAGTAGCTAATACAACAATTTACCATACACAAATCTTCAACGAAAGAAATAAACGTTAAGTAATCATTTTTAGGCAGCTACCATTAATTTTGTTTTGTTTGCTCTACAGTACCGAGCGAAAGTAGAGAAACAAACCACATTACAAATAAAAATCCAGAAAGATTTACTCTAACCCAAAACTGTACACTAAAGTTTTTTATGTATGACTACCTCAAGATAATGAAATGCTTATCTTTTTATACATTCTTTTTTTTCAATATTATGTGGTCGGTTTTTTGTTCAACGAGCAAAAGTAGAGAAACATTTTGTAGTATTTGGTAAAGTGTAGTTCAACAACATGGCCAGAAAAATTACGTTGAATTTGCAAATAAAAGAATTGATTATTTTAAAATATCGAAATTTTATTTTCATCTTGGCTACGTTATATTAAGCTATAATAAAACATAAGTGTTTAGTTTACTTTAATAATTTAATAAAATCTTTAAAAAGATAAAATGTTTTTCCACTTTTGTTCGGTACTGTATATTATTTGGTTCATTATTTTTCTTGTCCCAATTGAGAAAATAATTTGAAATACCTCTGAGTCTGAGCTATTGAGGTTAGAAAATCACCATTTTCTCATGTGCTAGGCCCTGTGTAATAAATCGCCTAATAAGGTAGTTCTCATATTAGAACATATCGTAAAACCTAACATAGGTATTATGCTGGTTAATCAACCTTTAGATTTTACAGGGTGTTGCATATGACGAAAGGCTCATTTCTAAACTGAAAAACCTACAAAGCGGAAATACTTGACGCCCATGCATATTAAGTAAGGAAAGAATAAAAAAACTGAAAGAAACTGTATCAATACGCAATAATGATATTAGCTTTCTGAGTCATCAGTTCAAAGAGGAAATTACCAGCTATACAGAGGAAGTAAATAATCTTAGTAGTGAAATTGATGAATTAACGGAAATTAGTGAACAATGCTCTTCAACTGGAACAGAAAAGACATGGAATGCCAAATATTAGTACAGCTCTGAAACTATAAATTCCACTTTTATGGAAAAATTGAGCTCACTATGCAGCAGCTTTCAAGAAAAGGAAAGATTTTTTGAAGAGAGAAAGTGATAAGATAAAGTAATCACCAGCTCAATTCTAATGCATTTTTTGACAAAAAATAAACTAATAATATTGCTTTTGAGTCATTTCTATACACACCTTGAAACAATCACACGACAAGTGTTAAAGAATACTCCTGCAAACGGGCTGTTGGAAAAAAGAGACATGCGAAGTTAACAACAAAGTTGGTTACTGTCCACTTACAATACTGTCGTACTGGTAACAACATTAGCTTGTCTGACAATATTTTCCAGACATTTTTACTTTCAAAATCCAAACTTAATGATATACTAAGTGACATATAATTCCGAACACCCAGTTTAAATGGTTTTATTTTAATAAAAGTTGGTGAATGTATTTATCTTACTGTAAATAACAAGTGAAAAAATTTTCAGCCTGATCAGTTGGACATTCCGGTTTTTATACTGCTTTTTTTTAATTCACTAACGCTCTAAAAATGAATATTTCAGCCGCAGTAAAGAATCAACGTTGGCGGATTTTGGTTCTTGACATCCTTTACGATCGGTTACGATGCCTAAATTACGGAGACCTGTACGATTTCGGCAACTTAGTGAGTTTGATAGGGGCCGTATAGTGGGACTTCGGGAAGCTGGACTTTCTTTTCGGGCAATTGCAGTTAGAGTGCAAAGAAGTGCACTGTGGTTAGGTGTTGTCAGGCATGGCTTCGAGAAGGCCGTACGCAAAGAGCAAGGGGCACTGGACGCTGCCGTAGAACAACAGACCGTGAAGATCGCCGCCTAAGATTATTGGCCTTAAGGGACCGTTTCTCCACTACCAGGTCCATTGCAAATGAATGGTTTGCAGAACACGGAAGACCTATTGGCATGCGAAGTGTTTACCGACGAATTAGAAGTTTTGGTTTGTTTTCATACCGGCCACACTGGGTCCTCCCTTTAACTCGAGAACAGCGACGTAATCGCCTTGAGTGGTGCAGACAACGGTCACTCTGGGATCAGGAATGGAACAGTATTGTCTTTAGTGACGAGTCTCGATTTTGTTTAGGCATGCACGATGGTCGTGCCAGGGTTAGAAGGCGACGTGGTGAAAGGAGGAATCCACAGTTTTCTGTTGAAAGACATGTTCATCACACTGTTGGAGTTATGGTTTGGGGTGCTATAGCTTATGGTTCCAGGTCACCTTTAATCTTCATCAGAGGTAACATGAACGCGCAGCGTTATATCCACGAAGTTCTAGAACCCCATCTTTTACCCTATCATTTACTTATTATGCTTCATTAAGTACTTATACAAAATTTTATTAAAATAAAACCATTTAAATCTACAGCCGTAAAATACAGGGTGATCCAAAAATAAGATATTGCATTACATTTTAGATTTTCAAATGGAAATACCATTTTTTGATTTTTACATTTTTAATGAGGTTTTTGGTAATTTTTGTATAATAAAATTTATAACTATCTTCAAACGCTGTGAAGCTAACATTGATTATTGTTATTAAGATACTAATCCCTTATTATCACAATTACTATAATTTTATTATAAACTCAAATAGCTTCACAACGATTGAAGATAGATACAAACTCCATGGAAAATCTAAAAATTAAAAAAAATGTGGGTTACCATTTAAAACCCTAAAGTATAACGCAATATCTTATTATTGGATCACCCTATATTGTACAGCTATAGATGAAAAGACGGGACACGAAATCAAAATTGACACTAGACTCACAAATGGGGGTTCGACCTTTTCGTTGGGCCACCCTGTATAACTATAGTGGAATATCTCATATTTTAATAGAGATACCGTGAATTGCTGCAGCCATGACGAAAACAACCTAAAAGCCATTAAAACTCCAAGTATTATACTGTAGTATTGAGAATATCTCCAGATCTTTGCAACCAAAATAACAGAAAATGATAATTATTTTTATATCTGATAATATGTCGTGAGAAATAAATAAAACCGGAAATTGTTGAAATTACTTCAAGCAATTGAACATCAGAAGATGTTGCCAACTTTGCCGTGGGGTCAGTAACTTGTTATTTTATGGAGGATGTGTTTGATAAGAATCTGGAAGCTAGCACACATATTGTGGAAAATATCAAATGATATACGAAAATATCTTTGGAATTGGAAATATTACCCTTGAGAACGAGGAAGAAACCTGTGCTCTACGGTTGTACAGGCGACACTACTACTAAATTCTTATCTACTCGCACGTTCAGGTAATCTGGTGTGAAAAACAATATAAGATATCTCCTTATCTATGTTGAGATGCAAACAGTTAAGATAACCACTTATCTGAGAGTAGGTAGCAAAGATAATGCTTCAGTTAGTTAGTATACTATTTCCTTGGTTACAATTCGATTCGTTGTTTCTCAGATCGTAGCGATTTTTCATTCCAGGGTGTATTATTGGTATAAAAGAACCTGGATAAGCTTTATAGGGTAATCTATTGGATGATCATAATAGCGGAGCTCATCGTCTGGAGCTGGAAACAATTATTGACAATAGCAACAATTAACAATTAATAGGAAAAATAGAGATTGTTGCTGAAATTGTTTTTAAAGAACAGTGAAGGGAACATATAGTCGAGGAATAAAAAACTGGACTGATTGTTCGATTAGGACGGAATTATTTTAATATTAAATGGCAGATCATTTTGAAAAGGTTTCTTACTTAAACGTTGATTAATTTCGGAACCCTGTATATATATATATATATATATATATATATACACAGGGTTATCCAAATTAAGTGTCCACCATTGGTAACTTTGTTATTAGTAAAAATACAAAGTTGTTTAAATTAGCAAACTAGTAGCATTTTTAATGCTGGTAAAAATGAGAAATAAAAAAAAACAATTGAGAGTCGTTATTTTGATTTTTTTCAGTAAAATAACATTTTTTTAAATGGAAACCCCTGTATATTATATTTTTTTCTGTTAAAGCATCAAATTTTAAACAAAAAAGTTCATAATGACTTTTCCGCTAAAGTCAAAAATAAAGTCAAAATAACGATAAATATTTTTAATTATTTGCAGTATTATAATATTAAGACGGCTATGAAAACAACATGGCGTTCGCGATTTGACAGCATTAAGATAAGCGACAAATTGTTAAACTGGACATACTCGCAACTAGAAGGCTTTGGAAAACAATGATAAAATCAAATAATGTCAAACATTAGTGTAAATACTTGTTTATAAGCTTTATTGTGTCATTAATTTAAAGAAAAAAAAAGCGAGGCCACGGAAATTGCAGTTATTGGATATTTTGAAGCTTATCGTGAGAATTCAATAGCAGATATTCTCAAGGACTCTAATTTCAGTTATGGTACTGTTCAAAGGATTTTAAAAAAATACAAATTTATTCCGTATAAGTACCGACCAGTTCAAACGCTTTTGGCAGGGGATCCAGAGAGAAGACTTGTTTTTTGCCATTGGTATCTTAGCTTCTGTCGCCAAAATGTAAATAACTTTCGTTACCTTTTATGGACAGATGAATCAAATTTTTCAAATTCTGGAATGTTTAATAGAAAAACCCACCATTATTGGTCAAGAGAAAATCTTTTGTTAGTACATCCAAGAGGCCCACAAGTCCGTTTCAGTTTCAACGTTTGGTGCGGTATAATTGGTTCAAAAATTGTTGGCCCGTTCTTTTATGAGGGAACCCTAACTGGTGAAAGATATGTGGAATTTATGTCAGAAATACTGACTAATTTCTTAGACGAATTGGATCTTATAAGTAGACATCATCTGCATTTTCAGCAAGATGGCGCACCTGCCCACAACTCCAGAGGTACTTATCATTTTCTAAGTACTACTTTTAATGATCAGTGGATAGGAACAAATGGCCCAATACAGTGGCCTCCCAGATCACCAGATCTAAACCCACTTGATTACTTCTTGTGGAGTTACTTAAAGAACCAAATTTACAAGCGAAGGTACGATAACCTTGACGCGTTAAAGACTGCAGTTAGGGAAAAGATAACCCAGATAGATGGTAGGACCATACTTAAGACAGTTCGAGCAGTTGAAAAACGTG